GCCCCCAGCCCGCCCCGCCCGCCCCAGCGCTCCCCGGGAGCGCCCGCAGCCGCTCCCGAGACGGGGGGCGGGGGGCGGAGTAGGGGGCCAGAGCAGGGGACCCTCGGGCTGGGAGAAGCCCAGAAGAGCATCACTGCCCCCTCCTCCCCACCGCACCTTGCTCCTGCCTCCCTTCCCCTCCTCCACTCCCCTGGCGAAAACCGCGGAGGGAAGACCCTGGGGCCAGACCCCAGGAAGCGACCGGCGCCCCTTCCTCTTGCCATGGGCTCCTGCCATGCCCCTCGCCCAGCTCCACCAGGTTTCTCGACTTTCTGGGCTGTTCCTCAGAGTTCTGTGGGTTTCTGATGCCCATCCCCATCCCCGGAATCTCCCCTTGCCGCAGAGACCCCCAGCTTCTCTGCCCAGCAGAGGCCTGAATTCCACCCCCTCCCACGGTTCCTCTCCACTTTACCCCGCCGCCCCCCATTTCCAGCACCATCTTGCCCCCCAGCCCGGCGGACATGGGGGCGGAGGGGGCCTGGGCTCACCCCTACTTTGAAACAGCCTGGATCTCTCCCCACCCCCCGAGAATGACCGAGGCCACCCTCCTCTCTGGGGACCCCAGGCCTGCTCAGGGCCCCACCCAATCAATCTTCTAAGCAAGGAGATGCCTCACCTGACCTGCCACACCTCATGACAGGCTCTGGGGAGAGATCATTATTTTTCTTCCAGGACAGAATAAAAATACCCGCAATTTAGGAGATTTAATAGACGGCAGGGAATCAGGTCAGGACACGGAGGTGCCTCTTCCCTCCCCTGACCTACTTCGTGCGATGGCAAGGAGCTGGAGCGCTGGAGGGTGGGAGAGTGAGGGGTGAGGGGGCACCTGGCTTCTACGGGGCTGGGGCCTACGGACTGGAAATCGCGGAGAGGAAGGGCATGGACGCTGAGCGCCACTGGGGAATTCCCCAGGAAGAGGGATACGCGTGGGGACAGGAGAAGGAACAGTGCGGGCTGGAAGAGATGAGTTCCCTGACACTGAGGCCAAAGAGAGGACCTGAGAAGGAAACAAGAACTAAAGACTCTAATCTCGCAGAATCCCAGTTCCTCCTTCTTTAGGACCCAGGGTCCCAGGAACGACCTCCTCCAACCTTAAACTTTCTATTCCCTTACAATGTGACAAGGCAAGAACTCTGTAAGTTCTTCGCGTTGTCTAATTTAAATCCCGATTTTGTCGACTCTTAAATAGGATCAAATAGGGTGCCGCTTCCAGCTGCGGCTTCTTGCTGCCCCCTAGTGGCCGCGTGACGAGCCGCAACGCGTGTGCTTTGCGGTATCCCTCGCTTTTCCAGACCTGCCCAGGTGCTGTCCACGACCCCCCGCTCCGGCCCGGCGGATCCACATCTCTTCACCCCTACCTTCCAGGAGGTCAAGTGAGAGGTCCCAGGACGGAATTCCAGCTCCAGCCCCGGTCTCTTCGTATATTCCCCTGTCCAGGATGCCCCGCAGTCTGTCTTATAAGATCTCTTATAAGGCTCAGCCTGAAACAGCAACTTGAAATTAATTAGAAGCAAATGACCTGTAAATTTTTAAAAATGTAAGCCTCTAGAACTTGAGCGTTCATCGGCCTCACCTGGAGAGCTTATTAAAACACAGATTTCTAGGTACCACCTCCAAGTTTCTAATTCAGTAGTTCTGGGATGAGGCCAAGAATCTGCATTTCTAACATTCCCAAGTAATGGTCCCAAGACCACATTTTGAGAGCCACTGCTGGAGAATTCCCCTTTTTTGCACTGTCTCACCGTTTCTCGTCTGCCCAAAAGAGAAGTGGCGGAGGAATTAATTGTCAGCATAAATGTGGAAGAAAAAACAAAAAGTTTTAAAGTAAGTTGTAGCTCAATACAAAGAATGAGATCTGCGGAAAAACAGTGCCCAGGGGGCACCCGGATTTGAACCGGGGACCTCTTGATCTGCAGTCAAATGCTCTACCACTGAGCTATACCCCCTCTGTCGGCGAGTTGCCGTGGGTAGCCTCTTGACGCTACTGCTGCGCATGCGCCGTGAGGAGCCCTCCAACGGAAGTGAGGTTCCACGTTTACAAGAGTTGGAAAGATCATAAATGTCAAGAGATTACTCTCTTGGACGCAGGGGTTGCTTCCTGAAGCTTTGAGCTACAGATTTCTACCGATGGTGTATGAAAAATGCAATTTGGCAATATGCGAGGGGAAGTCCCTCGAGATCCCTCACTGCGGGGGCGTTCCTCTGGGCCGGGGTACCCCTCTCGTGTTCTGCTAGAGCCCTCTTACGGCTTCTCGGCGCCCCTCTCTGCGTCCCACATGCTCACGCGGGCTTCTCCGGGCCTTCCTTCCCCAGCCCAAGCCGGCCCTTAGAAACTCAGCCTCGCTCCCTGAGAACAGCCGTCGGGTCACCGGGCAGGCCGACCTAGGGGCGCGCCCGTCTCCGCCCTGCCATTACTCGAGTGGCCTTCTGTACCGTCCAGGGGTCGACCCGGAGCTCCTGGCCCTCACTCGCACTGCGTTCCACCCTTAGAAGCACACAGTCTGAGCACGTGGGTTGGCAAGCCCGGAGACTCCATCCTAACCCGCCTGCAAAAAATGCTGGCAGGGCTGCAGGCTGATCCCCTCTCGCCTGCAAGAGAACTTGAAGAGGTGACCGCGAAGAGGTGACTAAGAAAACACTGAGACTCCAGGACTGAGAGGGGGCACCCGGATTTGAACCAGGGACCTCTTGATCTGCAGTCAAATGCTCTACCACTGAGCTATACCCCCGAGGTATCATACGTGTTTTATTAGAATGAATTTCTGTGGAATAAAGGAATGATATTACCTTGATTGTGTTTCTATCTGAGGACTGTGCCAGGAGAAACTAAAGGAAAGAACACAGAATCTGAGTGAGGCTGGCTAGAATTCCTGAGTTCTTCCTGGGCTCTCTATATCTGTGTCCACACTCTCTCCAAGATGTTCACTGCCTGACTTGAGAAGGAGAGAGATCCACTGACCACAGAACCATCCCAGGTCTTCTGGGGTAATAGCACTGCTCCCTGTATACAGATGGGCAGCCTGGGTTTCCACTCTGCCTCCATCTCTACCTAGATAGGACTCCTGGGCTTTTCCAGCTCCAAGGGCCCCTCCTCCTCTCCTCCAAGAGTCAGTATCAAACCACTCGCTCCCCTAGGCAGGGGCAGAGCCGGGAGCTCCGCAGCCCAGCAAGCCAGGTGTCAGTCCCCTGGCAGAGAGCCGTAGAACCTGGGGCCCAGGAGCCAGGCCCCTAGCCAGATGGATTGAGGCAGCGCCTCCTCCATTGCCAAGGCAGATTTCCCCCTGCCTGAGAGCTTTGTACAAAAACCAAAAGCCAGTTTGAGGCACAGGCAGAAGAAACAGGCAGAAATAAGAGGTGAGCAGTTTTCAGCAGCGTTTCTTTCTAAAAATTCTAATATAATGTGAAAAAAAATCATTACAAAAAGACAGACAAGATAAGCAGACGCTATAGGGATCTGGGACATTTGGGAGTGGGAATCACAGTGGCAGGACGTTGGGAGTGAAGGGCCTAGGATGGGGTGGCTTAAAGCTCAAAAGCTGTGGTCAGAGCAGGCATCTCAGAGGGAACTGGAAGGCCAGGGAGGAGTGGGACTCCCTGCAGTACGAAGGCCTGTCTCTGTCTGGGATGTCCTGTCCTCCTCCCAGCTTTTGGCTCTGCCCTCCTTCCCTTGAGCCCATCTTCTTCACCTTTCTGGAATCTCCTTTGCCCAAAGACGGCTGAGGGGCCAGAAACCTGGGATGGGGTTCTAGGAAATAAAGAGCAATTCTAGGGGTCTCTTACTCTGCCCCCCCCCCCCCCCGCTGCCATTTTTCCTACAGAGAGGTTGAGGGCTGAGGGGAGGGGGACTCCACTTCCTAATCCCAAAACACGTCCAACAGCTTCCCTGGTGTCTCCAAGAAGGACAGCCACTTTCATGGAGCAAGGGGCAGCCTTCTCTGCTGTCCCGTCTGCCGCAATTCGGGGTGTACAGTCTAGCTCCTCGGTGAGGGGTTGGGTGGACCGTGGCAATCTCACTGTCCACAGCTGCCCCTGGTACCACCAGAGAATCACGGAAAAGTAATAAATAGTCATTTGGGTTTTCCACCCACGTAGTTCTTGCAAAACCCCCCCAGTTTCTGGTTGGCCTCAGGCTGGGACATCAGTTGGCAGTGGCCCGAGACTGCATCCACTGGAGCCCGGCGGGCAGCCTGCAGGGAGGGAGGAACAGGGCAAGGGTCAGCATGGTGGCCTTCAAGCCCCCAGCCCCTGCCAGAGCCAACTGAGGGGGCGACCAAAGTTACATCCAATCATTCAATCAACAAACATAAACAGACTGACTACCTATTATGCATCAGGTACTGTGCTAGGGGTTACTGGTGAAAAAACAGACACACCCTCTGGGGCTTACAGTCTAGCAGAGGAGACAGATGTTAAACAAATGAGCGAACAAATAATTCTATAACTACATACTGTGATAAAGGTTAGGAAGGAGATGTATAGAGACCTCTGGTTGTTTGGGAGTCAGGGAGGGCTTCTCTGAGGAAGTGTCCTGGAGACCCACCTTTGCAGTGTCTCTGGGCAAGGCTCCACTGCCCCTTCCCATCACTTGGGGCAGTGCCAGGGTGACTTCAAAGGCCTGGGAAGAGGCTCCATAAGCAAGTTCTCCCGTTAGACTGTGAGCAACTCCAGAGCAAGGGTGGGATCTTGGTCATGTCTGTCCCACCTGGCATAGTGCACGGCACATCGGAGGTACTTAGGAAATGCCCGTTGAATCGAACTGACTGTGGGTTGGTGGGGGGTCCTCCTGGCCAAGGGGGTGGCAAGGACACTGCCAGAAACGTGTGGTTCCTTGGGCTGACCTGCCTAAAGTCTCCCCTTCTTCAACCAGGCAGGCTTCAATCAGCCTGCTGCGATTCCACTTGAGAGGGAAGAGGAAAGGGAACTCTCCAGGCCTGATGCAAGGCCCTCTCTAGGTGACCGTGACCTTGTGACCATGACCTAGCTCCTTCACATCCTTCAGGTGTTTACTCAGCAGCTACCTCTTCAGCGGCCCCTCTCTGGACACCTTATGTAAAACTGCAACACTCCCCCACATCCATCCATCTCCCTTTCTTACTCGATTCTTCCACTTAGCACTCAGCACTTTTTAACTTACTATATATTTTTCTTATTTTCATTCTTTATTGTCTCTTTCCCCCCGCTGGAAAGTAAGTTCCTTGAAGGCATGGATTTTTGTCTGTTTTGTTCAATACTGTTTCTCGGGTGCCTAGAATGGAGCCTGACACAAAACAGGTGCTCAATATATGTTGACTGAATGGTATCGTTTACTCTCTACAGAAGCTTTGGGAGGGAGTAGATATAATCACTCTCTTCTTTACAGATAAGGAAACTCAAGGTCAGAAAGAGTCAGTGATCTCTGCCTGGAAGGCTTGTCTCCCAGGTCTTCCCATGGCTCTCTCCTCTTTGTTCAGGTCTCAGCTCAAAAGTCACCTCCTAGTGGAGGCTGTCTCTGACCACCAGAGCTAAGTCAGACCCGTCCTGCCCCTCTATCACTGTTATCCAATTTCACTTTCTTCATAGCGTTTATCAGAACATAAAACGTTTGCGTGTAGGTGGAACGTCATCTCTCTCCCCACTAGAACAAGCCCCTTGAGAGTAGGGACTCTGTCTTGCTCACCGCTTACCCACAGCATCCTAACTGTAGGCAGGTGCTCAACTGATTTGGCCCAGGAGATAACTGTGAGCCAGATTCCGACAGGAGAGAGTTCTGATGGTCAATCGTCCATTGGTGGGGCCAGGCCCTGGAGGTCCAGGTGGGGAAGCCACTAACCCTTCCCCGGTGAGGGCACAGCAGCCCTGTATGTGCCACGGGTGGTCTTTGATGGCACTAAGAGTGAGGAGTTGGGAGATCTCCACAGTGGTCATGGAGTCCTTCATGTCCTGCTTGTTGGCAAAGATCAGGACGGAAGCATCTCGAAGAGCCTGTGGACAGAGGAGCCCAGCCCCAATTAGCCTGCCAGGGCCCAGCCTCCCTTCCCACTGCCTGGCTCCCCTGCTGTCCCGGCAAGAGAGGTCCATGCCCAGCTGGGATGGGGATGGGGGCCCAGCTCCAACACAGCAACCACATCAAATGACACCGACAGCTCGTGGGATGCCCCCCTACCAGCTCATGTAATCCTTACAACAATCTCATGAGGTAGGAATTTGAGGATCCTCCCCAATTTACACTTGGGGAAAGTGAGGACTAGAGAGGTGAAGTAAGTTGTCTGGTGTCCCACAGTGAGTGAGAGGTGGGGTCAGGACCTGAACCAGCAACTCCGACTTCTGTGATTAGTTGTGCTGAGGGCGTCATTGCCCTTCATCTGGGATAAACGAGCCCCGCCCAAGCTCCTGGGAGAGAGGCTCTCAGAGACTGGGCCATCAGGAATGAAGCTCAGAGAAGCTCAGTGAGTAGGCTGATGTCACACAGCTGGTACACTGGGCTCTCTCCCAGCTGCAGGGGGCTTACCTCATGGGCCAGCATCTTGTACAGCTCCTCCCGAGTGGTCAGCAGCCGGTCCCGGTCCGTGCTGTCAATCACAAGGATGATGAACTGGCCAGCAGAGGGGAACCGTGAGTGGTGGGCTTTCTCTCTGGTGAACATGTCTCCTGCTATTGTGCTCCTCCATTGGCTTCTGCATTGCCCTGACGCCAGCCCCACAGAAAACAAACTGTCCAGTCTCAAGATCTCAGTGTCCTAGTCCCATTTTAATTCCCTTTTCCATCCAGACATGGGGAGCACACAGCACAACCTCTGATGTGTGCCAGAGGCCACGCGAAGCCCTGGGCACTCATGTCTGCATTTTGGCCTTACCACACCCCTGCAGAACTGGAACTATTATGATCCCCATTTACAGAGGAGGAGACTGAGGTTCAGTGGGGTGACGTATCTTGCCCTCAGCCACACAGCTGGTGCGTGGCACTGCTGGAATTTGAACTTAGCTCTGTCTCACTCCAGAATTAAACCACTGAATTCTGCTACTGCCACAGTGAGAAGGTAAGGCCCCTGGAGACAAAGGGCCTACCCCATCCAACTCATCGAACAGAAAACTGCCAGCAAGCAGACAAAGCTGCCAGGAAGTATTAAAAATTTTAACAGGCACTGTTCTGCATTAAGTATTTGACACATATGTATTAGCTATTGTTTTATTATTTAATTTTCATAACTCAGGGAGGTCATTATTATGATCTCCATCTCACCAGTGGGAGAACCAAGGCTCAGAGAGGTTAAGTGACTGGCTAAAATCACACAGCGGCTCCAGCCCCGGTGCCCTCCTCACCTCAGTGTTGGAGTAGTACATGTTCCAGGTGGAGCGCAGAGCCTCCTGTCCCCCTATGTCCCACATGAGGAAGTGCGTTTTTTGCAGAACAATCTCCTCCACGTTGCTACCGATGGTGGGACACGTATGGACCACCTCATTCATCAGGCTAGGGAGGTAGGAGAGGGTACCAAGAGCTCAGCCCTGTCCACTCCCAGCTCTGGCCCCCACCCTCTGCTCACAAGTCAGCCTGAATCTAACTCAGAAGAACTCAGGCCCAGTTGACCCGGCCTCTGCTGGGCATGGGGGAACGCAGACAGCAGTAAGGCTAAGGGCTGCCTTGGCGTGGCCCCCAGAGAGGGGAGACTAATTAGAGCTGTCTCCCCAAACTTTAACATCACCTGGGAGTTGAATCACCTGAGCGTCTTGTTAAAATACAGATTCTGATCCAGTGGGTGTGGGCTGGGGCCCAGCGTTTTGCATTTTTAACAAGCTTCCAGATGATGCCAGTGCTGCTGGTCTGTGGACCACACTTGGAGTAGCAAGGGATTGGAAAAACGAGACAGACACAAGTGGGGGCCATCAGAGAGATGCCGTGTTTAAAGCGACGTAGAAAACACCCGTTTTTATATGTAAGGAATGCTTCTGGAAGGTCTGTGAAGTAAAACCGGGAGTTAGGAGCGAGAGGGGAATTTACTGTTCACTATATACTCTTGTACTGTTTGGATTTTTCTTTTCTTCTAACTTTTAAAAACCATTTACATACATTACTTTTTCAGGGGAAAATATGTCCTAAGTAAATACTCTGGAGGCTCCCAATCGGGAGAGATGCCATCCAGAGAGTGAACATGGGGAGACGCTCCGATGGCTATTTACTTAGCACGTGTGCCAGACTCTGCTAGACCAGAAGCTACAGAGCCCAGCCAGACCCAGAGCTGGCGCTCTCCTTCGGGTTTGCAGAAGGGGGAGAAAATTAAGAGGCAAAGGTGGGGTGCGGGAGTTTAAAAGGAGGGACCTGCCGCCAGGGGGGGCGAAGAGCAAGGAGGCTGGAAGAAGAGGCAGGTTCCGACAGTGCAACCGGGTTTGGCGGGGTCCGGGGGTAAATGGAGGGGAGGAGTGGGGTTGCCCGTACCGTGCAGAATTCGAATGCCAGGCCGAGGGGCCACTGAACTGAGTGAGGGGCTACTATACCAGGAAGGTCACATCAGCGTTCCCCCCATCACTCCTCTTGGCTACAGGGGAACCCGGGAACCCAGGGAAGGGCTCCGGTGATTGGTCCAAATGCCTGTCAATCTGGTGGGAAGGCCCAGCACCTCCCCGCCCCCGACCCCGCCACTGGAGAGTCACTTACAACTGGTAGAGAATGGTGGTCTTTCCTGCGTTGTCCAGTCCCACGATGATAACCTTGTGCTCTGAAGGCATCCGAGGGAAGGGCAGAGTCAAGGGACTGTGTGCCCCACCAGTCTTCCCAGGAAGGAGACAAGTGTTCCCAGCAGGCTGGGGGTCCTCTGCTCACCTTACCGCTTCTGCTCCCCCTCCCCCCTCCTCCACAAAAATCCAACTGGACAGGTTTCTTTCCCACCGGGCCCCGGACGTTTGCACCGCTCCCGGACAGTGGAAATGAGAGCTGAGCCCCACTTCCCTTGCTCCACATTTCCAGAAAAGCGATTGTCCATAAGATCCGGGGCGCTCTGGGCTCGCCAAGAGAAGGGGTCTGGGGAAAGAACCGAGCGCGAAGTCACCATGGCAGGAAACCGGCGCCGGCGTTTAGGTGGGAGGAAGGAGACTCCCCCAGCCCTGCGCCCCGGGGACCTCGAGGAGCCGGCGGGGAGGGAGCAGGGGAGACTGCGGAGCGGGCGAAGAGCGCCCACAGGACCCTCGAGTCCCAGGTCCTCCACCGCATCCGCCCCGACAACCCCAGATCGGGGGGAGCCCCCGGTGGGATCCGGATCCAAGCGGTCGCTCGGATGCCCCATGCGCCCCTTACCCTGTTTCCCGAAGATGCCCATCAACTTGGCGATCAGTTGTCCCATGGCGCGACCCGGGCCAGGCGGAGGCAGGACTCGGCGGCCTTCGAGGGTCCGGGTCGAACCCCGGCTTGGAGCCCCGCCCTCGGGGGAGGGCCGGGCGGCGAGCCTTGCCAATGAGGTCACGCAAGCCCCGCGAGTCACCTGCTGGGCCTGGGAATCCCCTGGGACTCTGGCCCCTCGCGGGCACTATGGACTTCACCGTGACAACCAGCTACCTGTCCAGGGCCCTGGAGGTGCAAGGAAAATGGGGCCCAGACTCCATGTCCTCCCTCTCACCCGGAGAAAACTCCAGAGTTCTCTGGTGGACTGCTCCTCCACCGCAAATCGGAAACTCAGCACAGTTGCCCACAACTGGATCCCGGCTCTCCCTTCTCCAAGTGCCATGTCTGGGGTACTACATTGAAGCAAAACCCTAGGCCACTGGCCTTCTGCACCTACCAGCTGTGTGGGGCAGACAGGTCTCCCTGGTCCTCTCTGAGCTGGGAGAATATTCCAACCCTCAAGCGATCTCTAAATGTTTCACTAGCTTGGGTCCTTTAGGCCCACTCAAAGTCAGTTCCCTTGGGGAAGAGCAGGGTCCCCCCTCCCTTTGGGTGTCCCTTGGTGATAGGCATCTTCTAGGAACAAATCAGTGCTGCTTCTACGATTCATTGACAAACTGACTGCGCAGGCACAGCTCCCTGATCCCAGAGAGTGGGCATCTGAAGACAGGGACGGAGCAAGAAGAGAGACTCTCAGTCAGAGACCCTACAGAGGGACCTCAGATACCAAGACCCAGCAGAGGAGAACCTGAGCCAAGAGAGACCCAGCCTGGAGGAGGGAGAGGAAGGGGGAGCCTCTTGTTTGTGAATTTCCTTCTTTGCTTAAACTGGGAAAAACCGGAAAACAAAAAGAGAAGTGAGGAAGGCAAAGCATCCTCAGGCTGAGGGGGTGGTTAGAAGAAGAGGCCAGTCATCACAGGGGACAGCCGATTCCTTCTACCCCACTGCCACGGCCCTCCCACAGCCCGTTAGTGCTCCCCTCCACTAAGGGAACAACCTTGTAACTGAGCTCCCTGCCTCTGCCTCCCCCTTGCCCAGGGAATCCTCCTCACAGCCCTATTAACCTTCCTAAAGCATAGCTCAGAGTCTGTTACTCCAGAGCTCATAAACCTTCAATGGTTCCCTATTGCCCACTGCATTCAGATCAGTCTCCTTATCTGACATTCAAGAGCCTCCATGAGCAGCCTCCACCAGCCTTTGCAGGTTATCTTCCATGTTCTGCACCCACTGGTCCTTGCCCACACATGCCCAGACCTTTCCAACTGTGCTTTTGCTTCTGCGTTTCTCCACCTGAACACCTTTCACCATCTCAGAAAGGAGGATTCCTGAGACCCTTTAGCTGCCTGCCATAAAAGCCACCTACTTCCCAAGCCCTGGCCTGGTTCTCCAGCCAAATGGGTTTCTCTCCACACTGAGATTGTCAACTGGCATGTCTGTTTCTTCCAATCAACTGTGAATCCTGGGCGGGGGCGGGGGGTTCATGTCTTGTTCACCTGTGTACTCCCTCCACTCCCTGCCTGGTCCAGTGCCTGGCACATAGTAGGAATGTGTTGCTACTGGATTGAAGTACAGTGAATTAAGCTACAGCCTGAGAAATGGTGTTCGGAGTATTAAAAAGGGAGCAGGAGCACCAGTTGAAGAGGATTGAGGAAGGCTGGGAAGTCTGTGGAGAGAAGACGGAAGATAGTTCACTAAATACAGAATTTTCATCCCACCCAGCTTGGTACCCAGAGTTAGAAGGAAGGAGAACCTACTACCAGAGCCCATCTAGGAGATTCCATTTCAGCCCTAGGGGACAAGGAGCTGGGTCTGCGGCTGGTTGGGGTAGGGTGGGGGCGCAGAGGGCACTGGGGGAAAACAGCAGTGTTTTAAGCATTTTTACCATCTGTTTCCTGAGGGGGAAGGAACCTCTTAATGCATCCTGCCCCCCGCCACCACACCAATTGCAGAATTGAAAGTGACATTCTGCTAGCTGGAGCACATTCAGTAAACAGACAAGAGCCGCCTTTGCTGTGAGGCCTAGAGCCTGGATCTTAGGGGGCATTCATTCACTTATTCATTCATTTGACCAGTATGAGTCAGGAGTTAGGAAACATGCCAAGAAGATGAAACAGACCCAGTCCAGGTTTTATGGAGCTTACTGTCTAGTGGAGGAGACAAATACACACACCAAAAAAAAAAAAAAAACACCACCCTGAGAGACAGTAGGTGTAAAGGCCTGATTTAAAAGGGAATCAAGGCACACTTCTCTGAGGATGTGATTACTGGGGCTAAGACAAGATTTTTCTCTAGGTACTGGACTGCAACACCCCCTTGCTCCCAGGCTGTGGGCCCAGCTCAGCTCACTTGATTTTCGAAAGGTGGAAAGCTTCAGCCACACCTACGACTGAGGCCTCTCTGACCTCCTCACTCTGGGGCAGAACCTACTGCAAAGACAGAAGCAGCTAGTCAAGGAAGGAGATGAGCGGTACCAGGTAGGAGGGGTCCCCAGCACCTCAGTTCTCAAGTCCCTGAAGCGGCCATGGTAGTAGCACGAGCCTCTCTCAACCTAGTCCCAGCCTACTGCAGGGTTGTTGACATTCTCACATGTTGACAACCACCAGTGTGCTGACTGTGCATGGGTTGAGGGCTTGTGGTTACCAAGAAACAAGAAATTTCTCTCTCCTCATCTCTTCATATCTCCAAGCCACCTAGAAGTGCCTCTGCCTGCAAGTTCTGGGCATATGCAATTTCAGGCAGAAGGCACATGGAGAGGAGATAGAACCATATTCAGACAGCTGCTTCCTCCTGCCCAACCCCCCTCCCCTTGCAAAAGCTGGGGCATCCTGGGGGAGGGGAGTTAGCATTAGACTTGGGGGTCACGGACACCACAGACCTTGAAATCCAAAGATCTGAGTTCAAGTCCTTGCTTTATGGGTGTGTAACTATGGACAAATTGCTTAATCTCGCTGCGCTTTATCTGTGAACTGAAGTTAATAATCCCTGCCCTTGATTCAAAATACCAGGCTCCACCCTAGATGGAGCTCTCTGTGGAGCTCCAGACCGAGCACCCAGCTGTCTTCTGCTCTTCTCCTCTTGGATTCCCCTACAGGCACCTTAAATCCACCTTGTCCAAAGCTAGATGTTGGTTCTGCCTCTAACCTGTTTCTTTTATCTGCTTCCTCCATGTCTAGGAATACCACCACCCACAGTCTCCCCAGACACGTCCCTCTCTCTCACTGGCCACCTCCAATTGCTCTCCAAGAGCTCTCAATTCTGCTGGATGTCACTGGAAGCCATTGCCTCCTTTCGCATTCTACTACTGTGGCCTAATGCAAACCCTCCTCACTCCTCACCTGGAGCATTGCAGCCGTTTCCAGGCTAGGTCCTCTAATCTATGCTCCAAACTGCAGCCGAGGCCATCTTGCCAATGCTGCTTAGAATCCTTCAGTTTCCCTACACCAGTTTCAGGACAAAGCCCAAACTCCTTAATGCGACTCAAGGCCCACTGTGACCTGCTTCTGCCGAACCCCCTCTGACCACCACCTTAAGAGCATACTTTGCTATTGAAGTGCCAAGAACAGGTCATGCATGTCTCCCACTTCCCCTGCCTTGAACACTTCCCCCACTTCTCTGCCCAGGTTAACTCTTAATCAACCTTCTAGACTCCACTCAAGCTTCACCTCCTCCAGGGAGCCTCTCCTGCACTCCACAGCTTAGGGAGTGACCCCTCTTCCAGGTTCCCCCAGTACCCAGGGCTCCCCACATCAGAGAGCTCATTGTGTTGTCCTGAGTCGTCTGTGGCTCCCCTTTAGACTTGTGCCTGGTACACAGTAGGTGCTCAATAAATGTTTGTTCAATGAATAAACATGGGAATGAAGGATTGATTCCACTGAAAGACAGTGGGGGGGCCGGCCCGGTGGTGCAAGCGGTTAAGTGCACGCGCTCCGCTGGGGCGGCCCGGGGTTTGCTGGTTCGGATCC